CAGGTGGCCTAGGTCTCTGCCTAGGAGGTGGGGCTGAGGGTGGTCCAGGTACACTTTAAGAAGCAGCACTCTTAGAGGGTCCTTCCAACGCTTGGAAGACAAAAGCACAGACATGCTCCCACCTAGCCCTCTTCTCCTTATGGAAGACACGGAAGGAGGCACCTTCGTGTGACTCGTATATATCTGAGGGAGATGGAGACAACGAAAATAGGTGGCAGTCAAGAAACTGCCAGTGATGGAGGAGCAGAAGACAGTCTTCTCAGAAGCGTACTGATTATTGGGGCCACATGGGTCAGGGTAGTAAATTTATTACTAATAAGAATTAATATTTTTGAGTACAGACCAAACCACAGATATTTTAAGCTAATCATGTGATGATGATTAATAATAGCTGATATATGTTAAGCACAATGAATGGGAAGCTATGCTGATTATTTTATATACACTTTCTCCTTTAATCCTCATGGCAGCCTTGTGAAGCCCCTGTGCATGTTCTTTCTCTCTCTCTCTCTGTCTCTCTCTCTCTCTCTACACACACACACACACACACACACACACACACACACACACACACACACACTGATTCTTATGTGTAGCCCTAATATTCCTCCCAAATATGATGCAATAGGAATTACACAGCATCATCTACCAAGGATTCTCATTAACAATATTTAAGCTGAATCTAAACTAACCTTTAGACTTCACCTTCAGTTTCTATTAAACAGAGGCTAGAGAGCAATTTTAAATGGCCTCATGAGGAAATAGACAAACCCAGACTATTGGGTATTCTGTGACTATTTTTGACTAAAAGAAACTAAAGACACATAACTAAACATAATGCATGAGCCTAGACTGAGTCATGGTTTTAAAGGAACAGCTATAAAAAATGGGGCAGGGTAGGGAAATTTGAGTGTGGACTAGGCTTTGGATATAAGGGGATTATTGTCAGTTTTCTTGGATAGGTTAATTTTATTGTGGTTCTACTGGGAAATGTCCTTATTTCTAGGAGGTGTATGCTAAAGTATTTAGAGGTGAAATGTCAAGACATCTGCAACTCATTTTCAAACAGATCAGAAAAAAAAAATTCAGTATATGAGTATTAGTGTGAGTGTGTATATCATGGAGTGATGGAACAAATATGGCAAAATGCTAACAGATGTTCAATCTGGGTGTTCATTTGTCTCTCCTTTTCAACTTATATCGAAGTTTGCAAATTTTCATAATAAAGTTGAACAGCAGCCCCAGGTGAGTAAACAAGGCAGTATTCCTCAGAACTGTGTTTTGTCGTGGCCTCAGTCTGCTCAGTCTGGGCTGTGCTGCTCTTGTAATGACAGACAGTGTACGTAGGCTTTTGATGCAGCCTTGACTGAAATCCATTCAGTCTGCCTTCGCCTTTCCAGGTAGATGTGAGCTGGGCTCCTGGGTTTCTGTAATGGAATCTCCTAGCCAGCTGGCACTGAGTGGATCTGCCTCACATTTGCTTTCTTCCCTTCTCACAGACAGCAGGAAGCTGCCAAAGGTAGGAAAAGATGGGAGTTACAAACCCAGCCCAGCTCTGCCCGGCGCCTTCCCCCTTCTTTAAATACTAGGGCTCTGTGGGGAACATACATATGGACCAACCGTTTATCAACTTCCCTTGTTCTCTATTCTGACTGCAGGATCAGGTTTCTGCAGCATTTCTGGGTTTTTGGTTTTTTGTTGTTTTCTTTTCCCCCTCATTACTTGCGGAGAGGCTTTGTGACAATCATAGCATCATTTTCTGAAATTCAGAGGGCGGTCCAGATTATCCACAACCACCAGGGATGTGGCAGTCAACTCAGGTGTCTTGAGGAGAAATGTATTGAGTGGCCCGTGAATTGAAGACTTTTATGTGGACTATCAATAAGGGCCTCATTTTATTAAGCGAGCTTTGGACAAGCAGGAATTACAGTGATTAGCAGTGGATGCCATGCTGAGGAGCTCTGTGCTCAAATCCCTGTGGTTAACAAGATCTATAACGAGGATCTATTTCCCCTTTGGTACGGATGCTGCCTCAGCAGGCATCCCTGAACATTGGACATGGCCGAACTGGGACATTTTACTGAGCACAGATCTCTGCAGAGCCCCCTGCTGGGTTTCCTTTTGTTCCATGGACCTGAGGACTTTTCTTCGATGCTCAGTTTTTGTTGGGTCAGCCTTGCATATCTTGGCGAGTCCTCTTACAGTAGTAATTAGCGAAGTTGCTGGGGAGACTAAAGCATGTTATCTCCCTTTTCAAACAGGGAAGATTAAAGGCCTCATTCCAGCCACTCTGGCGTGGACGTGAGAATTTGGTGCAATGGATGGGGGATTGTTTTAGCACAGATGGACAGGGAACTCTATTTTCTAAACTTAAGCGCATGGGTCCCTGAATAATCCTGCCTTAAATTTGGCATGGACCACTTTGCTAAGCCCGATTGGGCCACTTCCCCTTCTGCAGTGTCACATTCTTCCTCTTCAGAAGTTGAATCCTAATTGCATTCCTGACTTTGAGCAGAGCTTGCTGACCAGGACAGTGGACGCTTGGCATCTTCACTAAGATCCATAGTCCTGAGGTTCTGCAAGAGGACAAATATGTAGAGGTTTTACATTCACATTGAAAAATTGCCATTAAACAGAAGAAGGGAGGGAATGCAGATATAACAATACATTGGTTTTTCTAGTCAAATTGGAAGACTTCGTAGTAGCCTCATTTTTCCTAACAGGCTGGGCTCTCCACCTGCTGCTTCAAAGTGTTTTTGAACTTGGTGGGCGAGTGCAGCTTTTCCCAGCCTCCTTGTTTTCATTCAGAATGGCCATTTTCATTATAAATAATCTCCTCCAAAGCTCTTTTGTATTGGTAAGTTTTTCCACATCAGGCATTTCTAGTTGGTAATATCTGGGTCGGGAAGCGAGAATGAGTGAGTGGGAGTAGGTTATACTTCTGGCCTCATGTTAATTTATTTTCCACAGTTGAGTTTGGCAGCTGGGCCAGGCAGTGGGGAAACAGGAAGTCAGACCAGGACCCCGCCCTAAAAGCCCACCAGGGAAGCTTAGACACCAGTGACCTCATCCATCTCTAAACACCCTGTGTGCTTCATCTTTTTCTGTGTGTCATGGCCAAGTTTCTGTTATCGACTGAGCGACTCCATTGGTTAATTTGATGTCTGACCAGTGTCATCCATGGTAGGGGAAAAGCATCTGAGGGAAAGGAGTTGGTGTTTACTGAGCACTTACTATGCCATATACTGAGCGAGGTGCTTTAAGAGGTTCTTGCGTATTCCTTAAATACTGTCCTCTTGTGGCATTTGAGGAAGCTGAAAGCTGAGGAAGCTGAAGCTCTGAGAAGTGAGTCTTCATGTGGCCAGTCAGTGGTGCAGCTGGATTTGGACCCTAGACCTGGTGGATTCCAAAACTCTTGAGGTGGAACACACCACCTGTGCCTTTCCCAGTGCTCTGCATGGCCTCATTAAACACACACACACACACCCGACAATTATTAAGTGCCTGTGTTCCTCGTATTGCACTAATTTCCCCAAACAGCATCTTGTATCGCTACAGTGGTGTGAGGATTTTTAAATGCGTTGCATTTTATGAGATAAGCAATCACCTCTCACTAGGATGTCGGTGGCATGGTGTAGAAGCTTTGACACTGGGCTTCCTTATTTCCTCACTTCCCTCCATCTTTGATAACTCCCTGCCCCACCCACTGCCAACATGCTATGGGACTCTTTGTAGTTCTTATGGAGTTGACATGACCTGGGTTAATAAGATCTAATCATTCAGAACAGAGCCATGAGCCCAGATGTCAGCTGTGAGCTGTGCAACTCTTCCTGACCTTGGAGAGAGGGCAGAAAATGGGGCTGCTGGCAAGCACTGTGGCCCCCGTTTCAGGGTTCAGGCCCCTCTGAAGGAGCTGTGAGAGCAAAGCCCTCTGGTAATGAAGCCATTTGTCCTTGGGAACAGAATGAGTCCTTGTAAGATCAGAAACAATGGGCATGTTGAATTCCAGACCTGGGGTGAATGGAAGCTCAGGCAGAGGCACATGTGATGAATTGGGACAGCTCAAGGGATGCATTCTTTATAGGCAAGTTTCTGTTGTCAACAAGTCCACGCAGTGGTAATGATACTTAGTCAACGGTCATTCTTGAATAATTTCCCCAAGTGACTAAGTCATGAACTCTTCTTTGAGTTTTTTTTCTTCTTCTTACTTGAGTTTTGAGTTTTATTTTGTCTAAAAATCAACCTCTGAGAAATGGATGAAAAATAAGTTTGGGTAACAATGTTTTATTATTTTCGATGGCTTTGTTTCTTTTTATATTCTCATTTACCTATGAAGCAAATACTCATATGTCTGCTAGTAATTTGATTCCCAGGCAATAAAACTGTGTGTTGCTGCTCTCTACTGTTAAGCAAAAGCTTTTAGTGCAAGTTTTTCAAAACTTAGCTGGTCTCATATCAAAAGAGCAGGCAGAGTCCTGTAAACTTTAAAAAGCATAGTAGCCAGCCTGTTGACAGTTCACTGCCAGTTATATCTAGATCTGTCTGGATCCCTGTGCTGACATTTTCAAAAAGGTGTTGGAGCCGGAGTCCCGGTACCACCGGGTACCTACGTCTGGGAGGGGTGCAGGGACTGTCCTGGGCCGCTTGTCCCTGTCATACTGCCTCTAGATAACTGACCTCTACAGCCAGCTCTGACTGTATGGGAAGGGAGAGCTAGAAACAAAGAAAACCAGCAAACGTGCGGAGATTGGCCTCACGTTGGCTGGGGACCAGGATCTGCTCTTAGCAAGGTTCTTTGGGTAACAGCGTGGCTGCTGGGCGGGTAGGGTCGGGTGTGGGAGCTACAGGCGGCCAGGAAGGTCAGCTGCGCGGGGCGTCGGGCAGCGGGCAGACTTGTCTCATGCACACACCGGGTGTGGGGGACCAGCAAGTTTGCAGGCGGCGGAGCTGCGGGGGCGGGGCCTGGCGCTGCTGACGGACTCCTCCCTTCTCTCCTGTAGGTGAGGCTGGCGGCCACGCTCCGGAGCTCCGACATGGCAGCATGACAGCCCTGGACAGGGCCGCCAGAGGCAGGGAGAGAGGAGCCCCGAGTTGTGGGAGTGAGTTGCCCCGAGCAGCGACTTCCTTCTGAGGCCGCCCGAGCTTCCTTCCCCACCGGCTGCTTTTATTAACCCCGTGGACTCCTCTTTTTCCGCCTTGAACAGCAATATGTGTCAAGTCATTGTCACCTGTCGCTCGATGCTCTGGACCCTCCTGAGTATTGTGGTGGCTTTTGCAGAGCTCATTGCATTCATGAGCGCAGAGTGGCTGATTGGAAAAGCCAAGACCCGCGGCAGCGCGGACCCCGACGAGCCGAGCAGCGGCCCCTCAGAGCCCTACCACCCCACCCTGGGCATCTATGCCCGCTGCATCCGCAACCCCGGGGTGCAGCACGTCCCGCGGGAGACGCTGTGCGGGCCCTATGCTGAGAACTTCGGCGAAATTGCCAGCGGCTTCTGGCAGGCCACTGCGATCTTCTTAGCCGTGGGCATCTTCATCCTCTGCATGGTGGCCTTGGTGTCCGTCTTCACCATGTGTGTGCAGAGCATCATGAAGAAAAGTATTTTCAACGTCTGCGGGCTGTTACAAGGAATTGCAGGTAAGTGCGTGGCGGAGAGAAGGGGCCCGAGAGGGGAGGATGGGCTCCGCGTGTGCAGCGCGCGCTTTACTGCGGGTTTGGTCTGGTCAGGTTGGCTCTGCGAAGTTATGTTCTCCGCAACATGAGCGCGCCGCCCTCGCCACTCTGTTTTCCCTGCTGCCCTCTCCCCTAACGGAGAGAAGTGTGTTTTCTGCTCTCACATGTTCCTCTTCATGGCTTATTTCCTCGGGTTCCAAGTTGTTGGGTTTTGGAGTAACTCCTCCTATCCTTTGCCTGCCCCGTTAAGTTAAAAGCATGCTTTCCCGTGGTGCATACACCGAGGACTCAGGCCCACCTGCGGCCAGCACTTCCCGCCAAGAAGGAATGTGAGTGTGGGTGTGTTCCGAGGCAGCCAGCGGCCCTGCCACCCACTCAGCCCCATCCCCAACCGCGACTTCAGCTCCTAGAGGGGAAGCAGCAGGCTGGGAAGGAATTAGTATCAGCTGCTCTGTGTTTAATAATGTCCTGGTTTGAATTGTCTGTCTCCTGGAGCCGGAGAGAATGTTCTGTGCACTCAGATCAGAAAATACAGACTAACTCGTCCACTTTCTGGGAATCTCTCACTAATGAGCTGGTTAGACATCAGTGGAAAGAAAAGTATGTGCTCTTTCCAATGATGGAGAGGAGAGGCTGTGAGCTGCAAGAAACGTTCCAAGCCCACCAGTTCTTTCAGACTTTCCCACTTGGCTTTGAAAGGTGGATCCTGAACCAGGAGCCTCTCTCTCTAGGCTCAAGGGTCTTGTACTGGACGGCAGAAACACACACACACACACACACATATGGTAGGGTCAAGACATCCTCAAGAAAGTAGACGATAAACTCTTGCTTTAATTTTCAGGGGGAAAAAATTAAGTAATCATAACTAATCATAACCAAGGTATTTATTAATCTGAACTCTAACAGGAGAAACAGTAATCTACCTACAACCCTAACGAACTGAAGGGCACAGGTCACTCATCCCTCAGCGAATCCCAGAGCTGCATGCATGCAACTTGCTGACACCGAAGATAAGCACTGAGCCTGGTGTCCAGGCCTGTGAAGAAACAGAGCCAAAATGAATTCAGTCTAGTCTGCCTTGTAGCAAACTCTTGAGCTCAGCTGGGATGGCTTCCAAATAAACAGATCAAACAACAGTTCCCCCCCACCCCAAACAGCTAATTTTTTTGTTCCTCAAATGTTGAGGGGTGGCCTCTTTGTGTGTGTGTGTGTGTGTGTGTGTGTGTGTGTGTGTGTGTGTGTGTGTGTGTGTGATGGGGTGAGTTAACAGGCCAGAGAAATGACAAAGGACCTGTGCCACAATCCTGGTCTGTTTGCATGGGGGATATATACTTGTGACACATTTCAGGACCCTCATCTCTTTATCTCAGAACCAGCCATACCATGAATGACGTAGGTCCCCACAGGCACTCACGGAATTAGGGAGGCCAGGGTTCTAATTCTCAGCTTTGCTCCTAACTTGCAGTGTCACTTGAGATAAAGGCACCACCTCTCTGGACCTTGGCATTCCTCTTCTGAAAACTAGGGAGATTGGAAAATATAAGCCCTTACCTTATTTTTTTTAATCTTAGATTTTTGAGTCTGTGAAGTTAAATGGAGGTCTGCACCAGGCCTTTTTGATTCACTCTGAAATCCGAAGTTTATCCTTCAGCTTAGCATGTCACCCACCAGAAATGTTAGATGGGTTTCAGTACCCATTCATCTTTTCCTGGTCAGACAAATGCCCCTGCTTTATTCCCCTCAGACACACAGTGCCTCACGGGTATGTGCATATATGCATGGGTACATCTTCAAACTTTTGTTGAGAAGTGTTACCAAAGGCCTTTGGAGTCAAAATGAACATGTAAACGAAGGGAAGGCAGTGCACACTATTTAGCAGTCCTGTGGAAGAGCTCTGGTTGACCAGAGAGGTGAAATTTCCTTAGTGTTGCATTTGCTCCCCCTCGATGACTTCAAGCCTTTATTATGAGTTTTATGAATATAGTACGCAGGTGAAATTATTGGTTTGTCATCCCTAGGAACACTTTTCATCCTGAGAAACTTAGTGCCTTCTAGCAAATCAGTGGCCTTTCAGAGTAAGGGCTGGGACATTGTGGGCCAAAACACCCCAACCTGTCTTTACAGTCACGCAGAAGCAGCTTGTGGATGACTTTCAGTCTTCAATGCTATTTGCATGCAGATTCTAATAAGGTGTTTATTTAGTCCAATAAATTCATTCCCCAAGAATGTGGGCTAGTCCAACAGTCTTTGGTACTCGTTTGCTATTTCACATAAATGACAAGAGCATTAATTCTTACGTAAGGATGAGTACATAACTTTGAAATTATTCATATACTCGTGAGTTATTCCTGATATCTCTATCTCTCTTTCCCTCTCCACTTTTCTCTCTCTCCCTCCCTCCCTTCCCTCTCTCCTTCTCTCTCTCCCTCACCCTCTCTCTCCATCAGGCCTCTGGGAAGAAGGGTGGAGAGAAGGAAGTAGCAGCATACCCCCAGGGCTAATCTGCTGGTCACATGTCTCTTGCAAAGTTTAGATTTCTTCAGAAATCTTAACTTTCTCTCCACCCCCATCACTTTTGTTCCGTGCATACATACAGCATCTCAAAAAGTCTGAAATTACTCAGAATCTTAAATTGGCAGGAGGCAGAGATTCCTGTATAGTCAGATTCTCTCTCTAGGGCCCTGATTGAAGTCTAAGCACTGACATACAGGAAAGAAGTGGTTGCTTTTCTCCTTCCAGCTGAGCAGCAGCCCTCTCGGAAGAAAGGGAGGAAAGAAAGACAAGCACTAGTCAGCCAACTCCCTCATCGCGGGGCTGGGGAGGTCATCTGGAAGGATGCTCAGGGCTCTCTTTCTCCCCTAATGGAGGTCTGCACCAGGCAGTTCAAGCCAACGTAAAAGGCAGCCATGGTCCTTGACTACATGGCTGAGAAAGTCTGTGTGTCTGAAGCAGCTGACTTGCTTTCCCTCCTCTTGGCCGGTCTGTAATAACATCTGGTCAGCCCCAGGCTCAGCCAAGGACTTGCTGCAGCTGTGAACATCAGTCTTTTCACTCCCCATGCCCCCTTTCTCTCAACCCTGCTTGGATCCATTCGACACTGAGACAAATGGTGAGAAAGGCTGTTGCCAGAGCAACAAAAGGATATTCTTTGGAAATACACTCAGACGACTGTGTTTATTCTTACAACTTTCATTTTGGCAAAAAATGACACTTTCGTCAAATGCAACTAGATGAAAAATTACAAGGTATCATAAGCGTATTCCTTTACTACACCTAATTTTAAAGAATAGGCCACAGGCTTGTATAGCCTTCATTGTCTATAAAAAGTATAACATAAATTAAAGTCGTGATATTTTGATTTTGGAAGTTGGGTATAAAAGACTCTGCTACCTCAGTGGAAATCTCGGAATCTGGGTTACTTAGGAAACAATAATAAAACACATCTCTTGACTATTAAGTTAACCCAGATAGTAGGATTTGCCTTCAAGGCCTGGCCTAACGGTGGGCACCCAGCTGACACTTCATGTTCCAGGCTCATTCTCAATAGCAATTAGAATTCAAGTCTTACCTGGTGCTGCATCCATCTTGACCTCACCTCATTCCCGAGGCTGTGAAATGTTGACCAATGGACCTCACTTAGCTAAGCCTCAGTTTTCTCACTTGTAACATGAGTATAATAATACATACCTCAGGGTTGTTTTGAGAATTAAATTAGATAAACTATGAGAAAGGCTGAAGCACAGTGCTTGGCACATTGTAAGTAATAAGCGGTAGCTACATGATTATTAAAGTATTTCTGCTTTCTTGGCAGGTTTTAATATATCTTTCCTGTTTCCTAGAATTGCTGCATTCTAAGAAATGGGATGTGTTTTATAGTATTTAGAGTTTACCTTGTTCTGAGGAAATCAAACAGGACTACATCATATAGCGCTATTCCCTGGCCCCTGAAGTCTTCCTGTGTCAGGGCTGCAGAGTATAGAGCAGTACTGTGACTTTGGTGTGACTATTTTCTTTTTTTTTTTTTAATAAAGTGGAAGATAGTTGACAAGAAAACAAAGAACTTCCTTTCACTCCTCTTCCCCCTGACACATACATTCTCCATTCCTTGCCTTTCTGGAGGAAGCTTCTAGCAGCTGAGTCCTGATTGCAGGTGGCTTCTCAGGTTCCCCTTACAGAATGAATCACAGGCTGATGGGTCTTCACTAGGTGAGAACTTGTCCAGGACTTGGCAGAGCCAGAAACACACATCGGTTCAGAGCCCTCTGGGAATCATTACAAAAGCTGGGTAATCGGCCAGCAGGGTGGTTTTTTGCCAGCTGTCTTCCTTAGGTTGTGACCTGGATGTAATCCATAGTGAAACCGTAGAATGCAAAGATCCAGGTTTTCCATGACAGCATCAAGCAGTTTGTTTTTGGAAATGCATGAAGGGCTCTCTTAGAAGTCTGTGGAATCCCCAGTGACTCAGGTTTGGGACAGAAGCCATTAAAATGAGCTCAGGATTTGGCTCAGTTTTGCTGGCTTGGACTATTCCGCTGGGGTTGCCATGAGGGCTGAACTAGCGCATGAGATGCCGGGCCTGGCTGCCTGCTGTCTTCCAGTCTTCCTTAATATGCTTGTTTGCTTCTTTGTGTCTGGTTGGCTCTCACGCTCTCTACTCCCTGTAGCCCTCTGTCTGTTCACATCCGTCCCAGTCCAGCAGGATTGCCTCAGCAAGCTGCTCTACCAGTCTGACCAGATAGATTGCTGTGGGGCTGCACTGTGCCTCTGCTGGGCTGGGGTAGACGGTGTGCTCATGGGAATTGCTCTCTGCCGTGGTGGCTAAGGGGCTGGTGTGTGCAAACTCAGCTTTCTTGGAAGTAAGTAGTGACTGAGGATGAAGGGGCTCCATATGAAAAAAGAAGGAAAAGGAAAGGAATAAAAGGGGAAGAATCTGAGAGAGAAGAGTGGAGGGTTTTGTCTTTGCC